ATTTGTTCAAGACTCCAATGTAAATATATGTAAATAAGTATTTAACCTTGTTTCTTAATTGTATTCGTTTGAGATGTTATGTTTTCATAGCTCTGGTGAACGTTTATGTCACTGTTGGGAAGATCGGACGAGCGCGGCGTTTGAACGAGGGAAGAAAGAAAATTTTCTGGCGGGAACTGTTCATCGAATCCGGCAAGAAAGATATCTGGCCGGATTAGCAGGGGTATTTGAAAAATTTTGGATCAGCTACTGCCTCCAATCCGGCCAGGAATCCGGCAGGATTGTGACGTAGCGGTTACTGTTCATTTTCGTTTTGTTTTCGTTTTTCCATTTGCCTTTTGTTGCATTATTTAATTAAAGCATTATTGTACCTTAAGGTTTAGAAATCATGTTTTCAATGTAATAGTCTCGAGTGGTTTGTTTCTTGGGTTTCTATCGTGCGTACTCTAGGGTTTATGTGATTTGACTCCGTAGTCCTGGCGAGAGTTGGGCAGGTGGTCCGCCGAACCCTTTGGTTCGCCTTAGGGGGAGGTGGGGCTGTCACAAATTAAATGACAATTCGCTAAAATTAGAGTAATAATAATTAAAAGTCTAGTCAAGAAACAACTTTAGTTATGGTTCACCTAATTGATCATCGATGTGAAGGCAATTCCAATTATTTACTAATAAATAGGTTATAACTGTCAAACAATCGATGACAGTCAACCATTTCTTACTGCGTCGGTGATTAAGGTACGCCCGTTAATCACTACTCTAATTGAGAAATAATCTTAGGTACGACCATAAGATTTAATTCTTCAATTGCCTTACGTATTAAAGGAACCCTATTCTAATCAAATAATGCACTACCTGGGTTATTTTAGATTAGCCTGCGTATTTCCCTGACACAAACCTAATCATGCCATTTGTCACTATTTCAAGGTAATTAAACAATTACGGATTTAATACCTTAATTGACAATAGATTACCAAATCAATTTACTATCCGGATCCAAGACAATCAATCAATTGAATAACCATGAACACTGCAATCGGAGAATATGCAAATACCAATAAATAAGAAGAAAAGATAAGATTAAATTGATCTCACAATTTTTAGGTAAACTAAAACCTCCATTGTTTCTTGACTAGAAAAGGAAATTTAGTTCATCCGTGACAAGAAAGACCCACACAAAAGTGAAGCAACAATTCCGGCCATTGTCCTTGCTCGCGAGAATTCAATTCGGTCGAATGACTGAAAGAAAAACGAGAAACTACAGAGAATGATTCAATTCTTCAAAAGGCTCCTGACATGCGAGAGGACAAACTACTAAGAGGCCCACTAGAGGACGGAGACGGAAAAGTCAAAAAGCTAATCTACCAAGTGTCCCCATCGTCTACTATCCTATTATCTAGTTCCTCCTGCTACTATGCGGCATCCGCTGCGGAGAAGAAGAAGAAGACTCTAGCACTTTTTTTCTTGAATGACGTCTTCCGCAAATTATCAAAAAGGGGTCGCGTCTTGATATTTTAAAAATGTCTTTGGATATTTGCTACTTGAACTCTTTCCTAATGACTGTCAAATTGGCTCTTGTTATGGTATTTTTGTTCTACTCCCTATAATAAGTGCAAAATTTCAAAAGTGACTAGAATCTGACAATTAATCCACATTAAGTCAGGTAATAAGGGAAATTAATTATAAAATAAATGATAAATTGTAGTCTATCAATCTCACGAAATAAAAGATTTCATTATTGAAAGATTCAAGGACCCTAAAACCACTATTCACAATGTGAGGGAAATGAAAGAAAAAATCTTCACATTAGTAAATATCTGGATAGAGTTTTCTAACAATACTCACTGTGACCATCCAATCTTACGTTTAATTAGGGGTGAGCAAAATTATCCGCAAACCCGAAAACCTGTCATATCTAGGGGTGAGCGAACGGTGCAAATGCGGTAATTCAAGTATATGAATTCGATAAATTCGGTTATTGGACTTATAGAAATTTAAACCGCTTTCAAATTCGAATTGGAGATACCCGAAATCATTTCACTTCTTAATTTGAATTCGGAAATGGTAATGAATTCGGGTTAACCGAATTCATTTAAAAAAAATTCTGCTGAATCTTTTAATTGCAATTTCCAGCCTAATTAAGCCCTATTACCCAGTTTAATAGCTACGCTGCTACTTTAATCAATCTAATTACAAACTTATAGGCTACAACACCAAGCCAAAGGAAATCAACATCCAAATTATTACATTAATGATAAATCTTAGTGAAGAGAGAATATGGAATTTTCATGTTAAATATGTAATGTAATTTTAGAGCACACTAATACTCACAAGTTACAAGTTACGCATTCAAATATTCAATAATTCATACATGAATGATGTACCAAACTACCAATATCTAAATTCTAATTACTAATTATGTTTATTGTTTAATATTTAGCATTATACCTATACTTATTAATTATTATCTAATTCTAGTCATGTATAAAATGATAAGTATTTTAGTTATGTTATGTATTATTGTATATTTGTATTATTATAATCATATAACAATCAACAAATACTAAAATATTATATTGTACATCATTATATATTATTATTATCATAAGTACATGATAATACCATATACTAACTATAATTAATAGCATTTACGGAATTTAAATTTGAAATCAGTTATTACCAAATTCATAATCTCATTACCTATTTTATACCATATTAGAATTTAGCGAATTTGGTAAATACCACTTTTGTACTAAATTACCAAATACCCGATTTCAAATTACCAAATTAAATTTGAATTCGGGTATGTACCGAATTTGCTCACCCCTAGCCATATCTGATCCGATACAAAAATTAGGATATCCAATTTGTATTGTTTGATTAGGTCAAAAGAGGGTCGGGCACCCGTTTAGATGTGGGACGGGTTAGGGCCACATAATTAAAAATCCGTAAGTACCAAACCCGCTCCGTATATATATATATATATTTTTTTTTATTTTTTTATTTTTATACACATACTATAAAATAATATTTTTAAAGCTAAATAAGTAATTTCATTGAACAAAATTCCATTACAAATATGACAAACTATAGTTTATTTATAAGATTTATTTGTAGAGGTCATGATTTTATGTTTTATAGAAAAGTGTTTAATTAATGTAGAACATATATTTAAAAAAATGTGCTGCTTATTTCAAACTTTATTGATTTTTAATTCTTTTAATTTTTTTCCTTTACCTTGTACTCTTTTCGCATGCTTGTTTCTCAGTGGGAGATTTTTTGAGAAAAGAATCATTACTGAATCATAAATGAATGTGTAAAATATAAAATTAAATTAATATAAATCATTTTTTTAAATTAAATGATAAATGGGGCAGGGCGGGTACCCGTTGACCCGACCTTATCTCAGCAGATATCCTATAACCGTGTACACGCGGATATGTTGGGCAAATAAGGGTCAGAAAATGACTGACCTGCAAGATATGGGTCAAGTTAGCCAAATAACGGATGGGACGGGTGTTCGACCCGCGCCCATCCCTACATTTAACGAACTAGGAATTTGAGAGATAATGCCCAACACAATCGTTGCAGTAGTGTTTTTCTATCGCATCTCTTTGACCATGTAAAAGATGAGATCTCAAGAGTTAGTGGGATCACTCCATTGTGCCTAAATTCAAGAAAAAATGTGAAGGAGAACATAATGAGAGTGTTTGGATAGAAGATTATTTGTTATATCATTTAAAATAAGTAATGTAATACTTTTTGTGATATGATGTATATGAGATAAAAAAGTAATTGAAAAGATAAAAAAGATATGTTGAAAATTGTGTCTGTGATACAAGCAAATAATTTAGAGTCAAATAATGGCTATCCAAAATGCCACAAGATGACAAAGGCAACTCACTTTTTAATTATGTTGTTTGGGTCGTAAGTTTTTGTCACAAAATTTTGAAAATATTATTTTAACACATTTTTTAATTACTTTTTTTTATCATACACACGTCACATTTAAAGAACACAAACCAATTAGTTTGTTTATCATTGGTTTTCTCCCGGTGGAGGACGAGAGGACAAGGGCACTTAGACTATTCAAACTATTTATCAAAAGTTTATCACAATTAGATGAGATGTCACAAGTTTGTTTATCAAACTATTCAGGGACGCAAACAAAGAAAATCAAAGTTTTATTCGGTAAAAAATTAACTAGCTTAGTCCAATTGATCTGCAAAGAGCGGAGAGCATTTAGGCACCATTTAGTTTTAGGGAGCATTTGGTTGTATAGAATTGGAATTGAATTGGAATTGGAATTCTATAGAATTAAAATTCTAGGAATTGGAATTCCAAAATATTGGAATTCTTTTGTTTGGAAAATGCATAGAATTGATACAGAATTCATTTAGAATTTCAAATTCTTTGTTTGGATGAGAGAAGAATTCATTAAGAATTAGAATTGCTTCCATCTAACATTTGCTTACATAAAAATTTTCTTTTTTTCTTTTTCCTATGTAATAATTTTTTTAATATTTAACTAACTGTCAATAAAGCTTCAAGGAAAAAACCAATTAGTGCCTTTAATAATTTATTTTTTCTTGCATTTAACTAATTGTTACTAAAGCTTTAAAGAAAAAGAAAACCAATTAGTTCCTTTTTTGCAATATATATATTATTCTTGTTTCCTTTATTCTTAATTAAATTATATTCAATAAAAAACTAATTATATATTCTAACTTAAAAAGTAGTTAATATTCATCAAGTTAAAACCTTGATATTTTTCTTACAGTTAAGAACTTTAAATTTAGAAAATTAAAAGCCTACTCTATTATATGAATTGGGGAGGGAAGTCATAACTTGTACCTATTACAAATGTTTGAGCTTTGCATCTTACAAGATTATATAGACAATAAGGTCTGTAATAAGTGAAATTAATGCATGAATGTACATCACTTTTGCCTCTTTAATGCACAAGCAACCATTCGGTGCTACAATGCTACAAAAGTAATGCTCACTCTATCCATTCATTAACATTACATTTTATGCTAAAGCCATTAATAGGACAAGGCACCTCTGCTACTTGATAATCGTTACTATATGAGCAATTATCATTTGTTGCTCTTTACTTTCGTCCCTTCCTCCCTTTAGAGGTTTGAAGGTTCAAAGTGGGGATGCTCTGTTCATTCCTGAAGAAATCTTGTGGATCCACGGTAGCCTTCACTTTCACCAATCTGGCAGGTTGAAGATGATCCCCGCCCTATGAGGAAATGGTGTTTCATTCTCAGGAATTTCACTCATTCTTCCACCATAAGAATTGAAAACAAGTCTTGTTTTTCCAAGTTGAACCATTTTCTTGAATAGTGATACTAATCATCTTTAGGAATGGGTTCTGTACATAATCTGATTTTCTCTTCAAGAAGATCAATTGATCAAAAGCCCTTCCTAATAGTACTTCCTTTGCTGTCCCAATCTTGTAGCTATACCACCAGAGCATCGTGTCAATCCAACTTGTTTCCAAACAATCACTTCTCTTCAATCCCAGTTAAGGAAATCCAATGTTCATAACAGAAATCAACCTGTTTGCATCTCCAAGAAAATGTCCCAAAAATGTCAATCTAATGATTTTGGACTCTTTACTTTTCCAGTATTTGGCTGCACAAGAACTCTAATGAACATATCGTTGTCAATTTTGTCAGCAACATTTTGCCATTTGTAAAGAACATCTGTTGCATTCTCTGCCTCAGTCTTCTGCACATTAAAAACAGTGTGAATTTCAGGCACTCTGACTAACCTGATTCTATATGCAAAAACAACACCAAAACTAGCACTACCACCATCTCTAATAGCCCCAAACAGATCTTCTCCCATTTCTTTTCTATCCAAAACCTGGCTGTTAACATCGATAATCTGAGCATCAAGAACATTATCCACCATCAAGCAATATCTTTGCAACAGTGAACCGTAGCCACCACCACTTATATGTCCACCAACTCCAACGATTGGGCAAAGTCCAGCCGGAAATCCAAGTATATTGCTCTTTACATTCAGGCAAAAACCACAACCAACAATGACAATATAAATAGAAAATATTGCAACACAAATTTGTGGTACTTTATAAGAATGCATTCTCACTAAAAGTCTAACAAATGTATTCTCACTAAAAGAAATAGAAAAACGTATTCTCAAATATCTGGTCCCATGATAAATTCTAGCATTAATCAATGCTAAAAATTGAAGTTTTCTATACTAGCTTAAGTCGTAAATTCTTTTTTAGTTTCTAATGTCATGCGAGAAGTCCTCGTTTAACATCTTGTCTACTTTATTTCTGTACCCTTTCTAGTTTCTACTATGCCTGGAGTCCTTTTAGCCACTGAAGAAGCGCTGAGCTTCCCCGGACCGAGCTGAACTGATGAGCTCGGGGTGCTGATGGAAGAGTTGGTTCTAAACCTGCAAAACAAACAAGAATGAACTAGAAGAGGGGGCCCGAGGGTTGTCCCCGAGGGCACTCCGACGGTCAAGCTAGTTTTCCGGTGAGTAGAGTTCACGGGAAATAGGAACAACCGAGAGTAATTTGCCAATAGTCAGCGTACCTTGTACAGTCGATGTGTGTCACCTTTTATACCTGCTAGGGGAGTCCGACCTCCGCACGTTCCGGAACCTGCCCAGAATAGCCCCCTATCCCGCATTCAGGGGGATCGTCCCCGACCTCTTCGGGATGGATCCTCGCCCCCTTCAGGAGCCCTAGCAACGCTGCTCAGGACGACCGCCAGGGGCCTGGGGCTCGGCCAGGCTTGGGCTGCAACGTGTCTAGGCCCAGGACGGGGCCTCTGCACTAGCCCCCTAGATTAGGTAGGGCTGTCAGGCAAACCTAATCTACCTTTGCCACGTGGGAGGCCAGCGCCGTGCACTACCCTGCCAAGGTCACCTCTGGTACAGTACTGTCACAGGAGCGCTGCGTCCGCGTCCCTTCAGTTGTCACGCCTTTTCGGTTTTCGTACCAGCATTAAATGCGTTCACATGGGGAACGGTTCAAATCCACGCAACCGTTTTCCCCCCACTCTTCCCCCCATAAATAGGGGTCACCAGATTTCAGTCTGTTCCGTTTGCCACTTCCCCTTCCTCTCGTGCATTTCGCATTCCCCTTTTCCCTGTGCATTCGCATTTCCATTTTCCAGTAACTTCCGGTGTCCCGTGCCCAGATTCCGGCGAGTCTTCCATCCTTCCTCTGCCTTGATCATCAGTAAGTCCCTATTGCGATTCCTTTTCCTTTTACAGTGTCCCCTCTGCCTTCCGCTACCTCCTGCTTTTTATGTCGGGTCATTCCGACGTTACTTCCACCGCGTCCCAAAGTCCGATCCGCCGTAGAGCCATCAGGATCTTCATTTCTTCTTCATCCTCGTCTTCACCTTCTCCTCCTCCCCCTTCCTCTTCTTCTGCTTCTAACCCCGACCTGCTTGATCCCATAGACATTATGAGCTCTCCCTCTGCCCACTCTCCTTCAGCCCGAGACGTGGAGGAGGCGGCTGAGTTCGACGCCTATATGGAGCAACGGCCCGCCTCTGTCCCTTCTCCCCATTCTCCACATGATTCCCCCGGCGGAGCCTAGGGAGGAGCTGGAGAGAATAGGGACTCCTCCGAGAGGACCCCTGACCCCCCGCAGGGGGATGCTCTTAAATTTAGCTACGGCTACCCTGACCACGAGGAGGTCACCATCTCACCCGAAACGGTGGCCGAGCTGGTCAGGTCCTACTCTATCCCTCCGACTTTCGAGCCAAGGGCTGCCGGGCCCGACGACCGAGCCAGCCGACCTCCCCCTGGTTTCGTAGCTATCTACAAGGAACAGCTGATCGGGGGGCTCCGTCTACCGATCCTTCCGGCCCTGGCCGAGATCCTGAGCTACTTTGGGCTCAGGATCACCCTGGTGCACCCTAACTCGATCAGGATCGTCATAGGATTCCTGATCTATTGCCAACTCTGCTCCATCCCTTACTCCCTCTCCCTCTTTCGAGCTGCTTTCGTCCTCAAGGCAGCCCTTATTGGGTGGTATTACTTCTGCCGCCGGACCGGGAACCAAGGTCGGGGGGACAAGGGCTGCCAGGACTTGTTCTATAAATTCCCCTCTTCAGTCAAAAACTGGAAAGGGGACTTCTTCTTTGTGAAATCCACCGGTTTTGACGCCACCGTGTGGAGGGTCGGGGAGGTCAAGACTGACCCCTACCCTAAGGACTTGGACTCTGAAACTCTCATCCAGCTGTTGAGCTCTAAGGTGAATCTCACTGCCACCAAGTTCTCCAGCAAGCAGATCTCTGCGGCCGGACTGATGGGGACATTGTCCGGGTCCCCCGGCGAGGTGGTGGCCTCCTCTGTCGACCTCGTCGCCTGTAACGCCGACCCTGACCCTGCAGTTCATTGCATTTGCATACATGTACATCTTCTTACCGTTTTGTCTTAGTTGACCCCGCGATGCTTTTTGCAGTGAGGAAGCTTTCCCAACTGCTAGGCGCACCCGCTGAGGAGGCTACCGCCACCCCCCAGCCAGAAGCTACCAAGGAGGTCTCTGGGGCGACCTCGACCCTGGGGGGCGGCCAAGCCCCCCAGAAGGAAACGCAGGACACCTCCTCCCCCTCCAAGAAGACTGCCAACAACACGAAAAAGGCGGCCGGTCAGAAGAGGGGTCAAGGGGACGAGCCCTCCCAGTTCAGAAAAAAACTCGCGCTGGTCCCTGCGCAGCCTCCCCCTCTTACCATTGTATCAGGGGGGCCAGTCCACTTGGGCGTTGGCTCCGCCGAGGAGCATGCTCGGGAGTCGCCTCCCCCGAGCTTGTGGCATTTTCGCTACATAGCTCCCCTGAAACCGGGTCAGGCCCCCACCATGCACGACCCCCGCCGCTTCTGTCCGCCCTGGGAGCTCTCCATCAACGACCGAGCCCAGTTTTCCGAGGTGGCTCGCGAGCTAATGGTGGGCTCGGTCCTCCCCCGCGACAGGAGGTGGATGGAGCTGGCCGACCCTTCCGAGCTCCTGGACGCGTATTACACCGCCCAGGCTCAAGTAAGTCTTCTAGCCCATGGGTCAGTTCTGCATCTGTGTCTTGGTTAGGTATCGCAACGTGCTGACCTGTTTTCCCTCCTCCTCAGGCCAACGCCGCTGGTGCTGCCCTGGCGACCCGCTTCTTCGAGCTGTCTCCCGACTTGAAGAAACTGCAGAAGAAGAATCAGGAGACGGAGAAGAGGCTTTCCCAGGCTCTTAAGGATGCGGACTCCCTTAAGGCCAAACTGGGTAAGGCCGAGAAGGAACTGAATACAGCTCAGGTCCAGCTCGCCTCCACCAGGTCGGAACTCGACCAGGAGAGGGCTGGTGTGGCCAAGCTGAAGGAGGACCACGCCGTCGAGCTCTTCGGCACCGTCAGTCGGGAGCGGAAGAGGGCTGTCAGGGAGTTCATCTCCTCTGAGCAGTTTGAAGAGGACATCGCCCTCCTTAACCTGCCCATCCTCCAGGTCGGCGCTACGCGGGTCCTGAACAAGGTGAAGAGCCTCGACCCTCCTGGCTTCAACTTGGCGGACTTCAAGGACTATAACCCCGCGGCCGAGGAGAGGCTGGACTGGCTCTTCGACGGGTACCGCAAGGGACATGCCCTGAAGGAGCTGGTAGGCCGAACCGACGTTGGAGCCGAGCTGGCGGAGGTTCCCCTGGAGGAAGGCGAGTCTCCCGGCAGGGCTTCCGGGAAGGAGCCGGTGGCCTAGGGCGGCGGCCACTCCAGAAACCCTTTCTGTCTTCTTATAAGGATGTGACCCTGCTCCAGTTGAAAATGCTCTTGAAGGTCCACCTGAGACGGAAAGGCTCCCCTGTTTGAATAGCCTTTACCATACGCCTCTCAGCATGCCTAGGGTATACCTTCAACTCCTGCTCCAGGCGGACTACCAGCAAGAAGAAGGGGGTCCGAGCTGTCTTCTTTTCATGGCTCGGCACACTCTGTAATAGATAGGCAACTCGGACATTTTGTAATAGATAGGTAGTTTGGAAGTTTTGTAATAGATAGGCTTTGAATGCGTATATGAAATTCGAAGAGAATTATTTTGCATTCCCGGCCTGCGACCAATTCCCGTAACCAAAGTCATGTGCCGACCTCCTGGGTCGAGCACCAAACGTATACCCTTGTTAGTCTGGCAATCACATTATCAAAGACAACCAGGTTGGCGAAGCCGTGTGCCAACCTCCCGGGCCGAGCACCGCTCCGTACTACCAAGGCAACGGGCCAACCTCTTGGGGCTGAACGCTAAACCTTAAGGATTTTCCCCGCCGACCTCCTGGGTCGAGCGTTGAACCTTGGATCCCCTCAGACCAAGAATAGTTTAGGATCCCATCAGACCAAGAATAGTCCATTCCGCGCCGACTTCTCGGGGCCGAGCGTCGGGCTCCCAGGTTCCCAAGCTTTTAACCCTTGCCGACCTCTTGGGGTCGAGCATCCATCGGGAAGTTTCTATCAGTGCCGACCTCTTGGGGCCGAGCTTCGCGCCGACCTCCTGGGCCGAGCTCTCTCGCATCATCCTTCCAAGTTTCCCAGTCGTGCCGACCTCCCGGGGCCGAGCACTTGCCTGGTTGCATTACTAGCCCCCTTAGCCACCCACTAGGACATTTAGTGAGGGAACGCTAAGTGTGCTAGTATAAGATACGAACTTAAAAGGAAAACAAATACAAGTGCAAATAAAAACGAAAGTCGAGCTTTTATTGAATGGTAAAACAAAAATTCGGATTTCAGAGAACAGACAACTGAACACCCTGGTCCAACCTATGCTACAAACAGTCGCAGATTGGAGAAGTGCCAAGTACGGGGTACCTCAGATCCATCCATCTTGGCGAGCCTACAGTAGCCAGATCGGCTCACCTCAAGGACCTTGTATGGGCCCTCCCAATTTGGGTCGAGTTTGTTGGAGCCGTGAGTTCGGCTAACCGAGTTCTTCCTTAGGACGAGATCCCCCGGCTGGTACTGCACAGTCCTTACTCTGACGTTATGATAGCGGGCGAGCTGGTTTTTGTACTTAGCCATCCGTACTGCTGCTTCTTCACGCTTAGCCTCCAGCATGTCCAAGCTGCACCGCAGCTCTTCTTCGTTGGTCGACGCAACGAAATTCTGTGTCCGGGGCGAGGGGAGACCAATCTCCGCGGGCACCACCGCCTCTACTCCGTAAGTTAAAGAGAACGGGGTCTCGTGGGTGGCCGTCCTAGGCGTAGTGCAGTAAGCCCAGAGGACACTAGGGAGTTCATCCAGCCAGCTCGATTGGGCTGACTCCAACCTAGTCTTCAACCCTTGCAGAATGGTTCGATTAGCGTTCTCCACCTGACCATTGGCCTGGGGGTGATCGACCTACGTGAAGTGCTAGTTGATCCCGAACTCGGCGCACCAGCTCCGGAAGGGGTTCTCAGCAAACTGGCGCCCGTTGTCGGATATCAAGACATGCGGGATACCGAAGCGGCAGACAATGTTCCTCCAAAAGAATTTTTGGATTGCTCTGCTAGAGATAGTGCCCAGGGATTCCGCTTCCATCCATTTCGTAAAGTAGTCGATAGCCACCACGAGATGCTCGTACCTTCCCGGAGCTCGGGGGAAAAGGCCTAGGAGGTCTATCCCCCATTGGGCGAAGTGCCAGGGACTGTGGATGGGGATCATATCCCGAGCTGGCTGGTGACGCAGTGGGGCGTGCACCTGGCAAGCTCGGCATTTCTGTACCAGTTCTGCGGCATCTCGAAAGACGGAGGGCCAATAATAGCCCGAGAGAAAGCACTTTTTGGCCAACACCCGGAACCCCACGTGCGCCACACATATCCCTTCATGGATTTCGCGGAGGACGTAGTCACCCTCCTCGGGAGTCACGCACTTTAGCCAGGAAGACAGGTATGACCTCCTGTAGAGGGTTCTCCCAGCGTAGGCGTACTTGGCAGCTCTGAGCTGGATTCGGCGGGTCTCGATTTTGTTCTCAGGAAGGACACCCGAGCTGAGGTAGTCGATGAGGGGTGTCATCCAGGTGGCCGAGCTGTCTATAGTTAGGACCCGGACCTGATCGATACTTTTCTGCTTTACTACCTCTACCAGAACTTCTTTTCTCAAGTGCGCGAACGAGGAGGATGCCGTCTTCGACAGGGCGTCCACACGCTTGTTTTGCGATCTTGGCACCCGCTCAATGTCAAAGGTATCAAATAGGGCTGTTGCCTCCTGCACCTTGGCCAGATACTTCTTCATGACCTCCTCCTTGGCCTCGTACTCCCCGAGGACTTGGAGGACGACGAGCTGAGAATCGCTTCGGACTTGGATCTCGGTTATACCCATCTGGTGGGCTATCCGTAATCCCGTGAGCAGGGCCTCGTACTCGGCCTCATTGTTGGACGCGGGGAAGTCAAATCGGAGAGCGTAGGTCAACTCTTCCCCGGTGGATGAGATGAGTAACAGACCCGCCCCGCTACCTTCCTTGCTGGAGGCCCCGTCTACAAACAACACCCAGGTCTCCTTCGGCCGTACCTCCTCGCGCAGGGAACTTAGCTCGGTTAGGGTTAAACTAGCCCCCTCAGCAAGGAAGTCTGCCAAGGCCTGGGCCTTGATGACTGTGCGAGACCGATAGCCGATGTCATGTTCGGCCAGCTCGACGGCCCACTTGGTCATCCTGCCCGAGACTTCGGGCTTGGTGAGTATCTGCCGTAGAGGCTGATCGGTTAGGACGACGATGCTGTGGGCCTGGAAGTAAGGTCGGAGCTTCCGGGCAGCGTGCACTAAAACCAGGACTAGTTTTTCAGGTGGCGTGTACCGCGTCTCCGGCCCTTGTAGAGCACGGCTGATAGAGTATATTGGCCTCTGAACCCCCCTGTCCTCCCGTACCAAGACCGCGCTAACGGTTTCGTTGCAAGTAGACAGGTATAGGAACAGGGTCTCCCCCTGCTCCGGGGCCGTCAGAGTGGGTAGCTCTGCTAAGTATGCCTTGAGATCGGCGAAGGATTTCTGGCACTCCTCCGTCCATTGGAAATCTTTAGGCGCTTTTAGAATGCGAAAGAAAGGCAGCCCCCGGACCGCGGAACGCGAGAGGAATCTGTTCAGGGCGGCCACCCTTCCTGTGAGCCGCTGAACCTCCTTTACATTTCTCGGGAGGGGCCATGTCCATGATGGCTTGGAGTTTATCCGGGTTGGCCCGGATCCCATCCCGGGATACCAAGAACCCCAGGAACCTTCCCAACCTAACTCCGAAAGTACACTTTTTCGAATTCAGTCGCATCCGACTTTCCCGCAGGATGCTAAGGATCTCCCTCAGGTCGGGGACGAGCTGCTGGTCTGTCCGGCTCTTGATGATCATGTCATCTACGTAAATTTTCATGCTCCTGCCGATCTGGTTCTGGAACAGTTTGTTGACCAGGCGCTGGTAAGTGGATCCAGCGTTTTTTAGACCAAACGGCATGGTCCGGTAGCAATAGGTTCCCTCCTCGGTGATAAACGAGGTCTTCTCCCGGTCCTCCTTAGCCATTTCTATCTGATGGTACCCCTTGAAAGCATCCAGAAAACATAAGACATCAAATCCCACAGTAGAATCTACTAACCTATCGATTCTCGGAAGAGGAAAGCAGTCCTTTAGGCAGGCTTTGTTGAGATCCGTGAAGTCCACGCACATCCTCCAGGTCTGGTTCTCCTTCTTTACCAGTACCGGGTTGGCTAACCAGGTCGGGTAGTAGACCTCCAGGATGATCTTGGACTCCAGCAGTTTCCCGACCTCCTTCTTGATCACCTCGTTCCTTTCTGGGGCGAAACTCCTCTTTTTCTGCTTGACTGGCTTGAAGCGGAAATCCACGTCGAGGTGGTGGACTGCCAAGTCGGTCGGGATCTCGGGCATGTCATCCACCGACCAAGCAAAGACCTGGGAGTATTCCCTTAACAGAGCCTTCAAGTCCTCCTTCTCCTCGGGGGGCAGCAGCGCGCCTATGCGGATCACCTGGTCTGGCCGATTTTCTCTCAAGGGGAATTCCTCGATTTCATCCTGGGTGCCCGGCTGCCGGGTTTCATCCCCCGGGATGTAAGGCTCCAGACAGGTCATCTGGGCGACCACCCTCTCCGGCCCGCGGAGAGTGGCCAAATAGCAAGCTCTGGCTACCTCTGAATCACCGTGCACCTCGGCTATCCCTCATGGAGTAAGAAAGTTAACACTGAGATGGAGGGTAGATGGAATAGCTCGGAGGGCGTTCAGAGCCGGCCGACCCAGGAACAAGTTGTACGAGGATGGCTGCTTGACCACCACGAAGTTGACAGGGATGGTCCGGCATTTGGGGGCCTGCTCTACCGTGACCATCAGGGTGATCATTCCCTCCGGATTAATGGGCGGCCCGGTGAAACCCACCAGAGGTGTTCGAACCGGGGTCAGTTGGTCATCCTTCAATCCGAACTCCTTGAACACCCGATAGAACATAATGTCAACCGCGCTACCTTGGTCGACATACACCTTCTTCACCCGATAGTTGTTGGTGACAATGTCTATCATGATGGTCTCGTGGTTCCCGGACGCCAGGAGGACCGCATCCCTTGGTCCGAAGGTGATATCCTCGTCCATGCGCAAGTGTTTCAAGGAGTCGTCCCCCTCGGGGGGTGGTCGCTTGTTCTTCCAAACTGTATGACTGTCTTCCCCCGTGGGGCCCCCGGCGATGGTGTTTATCACTCCCGCCAAGTTCTGGGTGTCCTGGTCTGGAGAGTGGTCCCTAGGAGCGTCACGCCGCTCAGGGCGGTCGTGACGCTGTCCCTCATGCCGGTCTCCATAGTAATGGCGCCCGGACTCCTGGCCCGGCCGGCCATGGTGTACGAACCGCCCAAGGAAACCGCGCTGGATCAGATATTCGATCTCCTTTCGCAGAGCCCAACATCCCTCCGTGTCGTGTCCCACGTCGCGGTGAAAGGCACAGTACCGGTCCTGGTTCCTTTTGTTCCGAGGTGTCCCCATCTTTGGCGGCCGATCTCCCAGCCCTTCCGCCTCCATAACGGCCAAGATCTGAGCTCTAGGCCATGTCAGAGGGGTGTAGCTCTTCTCCGGGAGTGGCGGCGGAGCAGGGGCCTTCTCCTTCGAGAGCCGATCAAAGACGTTCTTCTTGGCCGAGGCGTCCTTGCCCTCTGGGGGGTTTGTCCGACCCTTCCGATCTCCGAACTCCCGATCTGACTCTTTCTTCAGGCGGCCTGCCTCCTCCGCGTTAGCGGCCGCCTGTGCCCGGGTTAGGAGCTCCTCCAGGTTTACGGGAGGCTTCTTGGCCAACTCGTAGAAGAGCTCCTCTATCCTGAGCCCGTTCGTGAAAGCGACCATTACCACTTTTTCATCTTTGTCCCTGACCTGCAAGCTCTCCGCGTTGAAGCGGGTCATGAAGTTCCTCAGCGACTCGTCGGGCTTCTGGCTGATAGACATCAGGTGGGTGGCGTTCTTCGCATAGGTCTTCGAGGAGACGAACTGGGCGACGAACTGCCTAGCCAGCTCGGGGAAACTCCGGATAGACCTTGGTGCCAAGCCTTGGAACCAGAGCTGAGCTTTCCCCTTCAGGAACATAGGGAAAGTCTTGCAGCGGATCTCGTCCGCAGCAGTTTGCAGTTGCATGTGCGTCAGGAAGACCGAGAGGTGGTCTTTCGGGTCAATGGAAGCGTCATACATCTCGATGCTCGGGATCTTGAACCTCCGGGGTAGGGGGTAATCCTCTATCTCCTTGGGGAAGGGCGAGGTGGAGTAGTTGTCTTCGTACAACCGCGGCCGCAAGATCTGCTTGAGCTCGTCTTGGACAGGCCTCAAGTGAAGGTGGTCGCGCGGTCGACTCTTGGCAGACCGGGCTGGAGAACGGTCAAGCCCATTTCGCATAGGCCTCCTCGGCGAGGGGTCCCTCGGCCTACTCCCCGCGGACCTGTAGTGGGAGTACCTCTCGCTGTCCCCGACTACCGAGGCTCGCGGGCGAGGTGGAGTCCGTGGCCGTTTCCTTCTAGGGGGTTGGTCGCGTGACTCATCCTCCGAGGGGTCGAGGAGTGGCTCTTTCTCTTTTCCCTTGGCCTTCGAGGTTTACGGGCCTCCAGCCCCCACCCCCTCCTTCGCCTGCCGGATGATGTCTTCCAGCATAGGGAGGTTCTCCGCCACGAACCCGGGATGCCTCAGCCTCTCTTCGCTGGGACCCCTCACCGCCTCCAGGGCCGGTTCTCTCTGCCGTTCGCTTGGATCGCGTCCTGGCCATCAACACAATCTCAACTACCTTACGGTTTTCACAGACGGCGCCAACTGAAGAAGCGCTGAGCTTCCCCGGACCGAGCTGAACTGATGAGCTCGGGGTGCTGATGGGAGAGTTGGTCCTAAGCCTGCAAAACAAACAAGAATGAACTAGAAGAGGGGGCCCGAGGGTTGTCCCCGATGGCACTCTGACGGTCAAGTTAGTTTTCCGGTGAGTAGAGTTCAAGGGAAGTAGGAACAACCGGGAGTAATTTGCCAATAGTCAGTGTACCTTGTACAGTCGATGTGTGTCACCTTTTATACCTGTTAGGGGAGTCCGACCTCCGCACGTTCCGGGACCTGCCTAGAATAGCCCCCTATCCCGCATTCAGGGGGATCGTCCCCGACCTCTTCGGGATGGATCCTCGCCCCCTTCAGGAGCCCTAGCAGCGCGGCCCAGGACGACAGCCAGGGGCCTGGGGTCGAGGCCCAGCTCGGCCAGGCCTGGGCTGCCACGTGTCTAGACCCAGGACGGGGCCTCTGCAGCCACATTGAAAATCCACATCTACAGATCATAAACATCGTTTTTCAGAAAGTGAAGAAAGATAAAATGGCAATTTGTCTTCTCTTTCTTTTTTTCGTATTTCCTTTTATGAAGAAACGTGATGATTCTTACAATTTCTTTTCCTTCTGTGTTACTTTTTATGTATGATTTTGACATCTACGACGTGGTCATCAGTAATCATATGGGCTGTATCATTAGCAAAATAACCCTAGTTTTGCAAATCTAGAGAAGAAGCGAATCACATAGAAAGAGAGAGGATATAGTGGAACGAAAGCTTACCACGATATAGCAGAATCAATATAGCGATTTCACCCACACGATGTTGGGGAGGAGAGAAGAGGGAGGAAAGGCCTGGAGGGGTTACGGGTGAAGTGTTGGGAAGAAGAGGCGGCACCGACGGTGGTGGTGGTGGCAGAAAACGCTAGAGTGATTGCTCACGAGAAGAGAGTAAGAAGGCAGCTTTGTATTTTTTTTAATCCAGCTTTATAGTTGACCCGTTTTGGAAGCTTTTACCCATTTAAAGTCCGCGTGTTGACCGGAATGGAAGTTTGGCCGTGGAATTGGAATTGGAATTCTTTGGTCCAGCCAAAGAATTGGAACCATGGAATTGGATCGATTTGGAATTGCAATTCGATTCTAATTCTACAGGAAAGATAGTACCAAACACAAGAATTGAAATTGGAGCCAATTTCAATTCTACACTCAAATTTCATGGGGAACCAAACATACCCTTACAGTTTTCCAGAAATTATTTTCAAAAACCCTCCTAGCCAAGTTATTTCCAAATGTCTCGGGAATGCAGTCTTGCATTATTAACAATTCCAGGCAGATACCATGTTTCCATAACTCATAAAAAAGCATCAAGTTGGCTTTAAGTCATAAGAATATATTAGTCGTAAGAATAGATTATTTAAGTCGTATATTCAAATCCCACGATTAATGTAAGAACTATCTTGGTAAGCAAAATTCTATCGATTCGAGCACTTGTATTAACGGGTGATCAGTAAGAGACCTATGGTTCAAAAATTTCTCACGAGGGTAACTAAAGCCGAACCCATCTAAATATTTTCCTTAAAAAAAAAAAAAAAAAAGGAACACCTGTTGCCATCTCCTTCTTGTAGCCCACCAGTCCACCACCATTGATGAATCATTCATTCATTCGTTTCCGCCAGTGTATAAATTCACTGAAAAAAAAGGACTTCATCCTCCTCCTCACCCTCCTCCAACCTCGCAAAATGTGGCATAATTCACCAGAAGTAACGCTCCCTCTGACATATAATAAGATTGACTTGGCTGATTTCACCCTTCACTGGTGGTTACGCAATGCTCCAATAGAAGTCCACTGGTATTACTACTTTCTGAAGAAGAAGAAGACGACGATGCCAGTCTTCACGTCACTCACCGACACACAAGAAAATCCAAATCAGTGCAATAATCTAAACAAAAAAGAAGAGATGTATAACAGCAGATGGGTACCCTTCCCGCCTCACCACAGCTGCCTGCCTTCACTCCTCTGTTTCCACCTGATTCCCTACTTAAAGCCGTCTACTTCTACTACTGAAATTTATACCCGCCATTAAAATTCCAATTTATTAGTATTAATTACTTACCATTTGAATATCCTCCAAGTAAAACTACTATCATTTTTCTAAAACCAAAAAAAAAAAAAAAGAAAGCAGAACGAAGCAGCTAAATTTCAGAAAATGAGAGGAACAACGACAATGGTGTTGTTCCTGTTCATAATTGTTTTTCTTGCCACCGTTTTGACGTCGTTCGCTGCCAATGTTACGTTCGATCACCGTGCTTTAGTGATGATGGCAAACGGAAAGTTCTGATCTCTGGTGCCATCCATTGCCCTCGTAGCACTCCACAAGTCCGTACAGTTCTCCTCCCCTGGAGTTCAGTTTCAGACATATTAGTACTAATTTTTACACGCATTTACACGCTTTTTGCAAACTATTCATGTTAAGTGTGTGGAAATTTATTGGAAACATGGAAACGCAGATGTGGCCGGACCTGATTCAGAAGTCTAAAGATGGAGGTTTGGATGCCATCGAAACTTACGTCTTTTGGAATTTGTACGAACCGGTTTGAGGCCAGGTCTCATCTTTTCGGATTTCTTTCCAATTATGCTTTGCTTCAGCAGAAATTTTATGTTGGTCTGGAATAACTATTGGGCATGCCTAGTAGAGCAAAATACATAGGCAGAAAAATATTTTACATTTCTAGGATTTTTGTGCATATTATGTTTGTAGTTTTTTCTCTTTCTAATTATGTTTTGCTTGAGGAGAAATTTTATGTTGGATCGGAGCAACTACTCGGCATTCCTAGCAGAGCAAAATATAGAGGCAGACAAATATTTTACATTTCTACGATTTTTGTGTATATTATGTTTGTCGTTTTTTTCTCCAATTACGTAAGAAACATCATAAATTAAGTTTGACAATAAAAAATAATAAACATCATAAATTAAGTTTGACAATAAAAAATAATTACACCTTGGAATTTGGTAAGATATCTTAATCTCGACGGAATTTGCATATCATTCCGAAAAAGTGAAAATAAAGGAATCCTAACGTTTAAGAAAAAAAAATTTTTCTTTCCCCATGCAGTATGACTTCGAGGGAAGGAAAGATTTGGTTAGCTTTATTAAATTGGTGAAGCTAGCTGGTCTCTACGTTGTGCTGAGAATTGGTCCTTATGTCTGTGCTGAGTGGAATTATGGGTAACTAAAGATTCTCTTTTCCTTTTCTTCGAATATTCACCTGGATTCAAGTGAAAAATGCTTGAAGTTTTTTTTTTGGATTAAAATTTTGGTCCCATTTTGGGAAAATGAAACACAGGATTTCCACTTTGGTTGCATTTTATACCTGGGATCGAGTTCAGAACCAATAATGAGCCATTTAAGGTGCATACTCTAGCTCATTCATTACATTAATTTACCTGCATCTTGCTGCTTTGAATTTGGTTAATAAGCATAGTCTTTGTTTCAGGTGGAAATGCAGCGATTTACAACCATGATTGTGGACTTGATGAAACAAGAATCTCTATTTGCTTCCCAAGGCGGTCCAATAATCTTCCCTGAGGTTGATTAAGAAAGCTGACAGGAAGGGTATCTACTGTCAGGGGGGAGAAAATGGTGTAATTTTTCAAAGGGCGAATAACATCTGATAATATAACAACATAACAAAAGTGTGGGCTAATTTCTTGTAACAGAAACTGTTATCAGATTACGGGCTCTGACTTTCGATAGAAAGTGAAAAAGTAAAATTTAAATTTATTTTTACTCATAGCAAAATTGACTTGGGCCGTGTTTAACCCACGCGCAGGAGAGCGGGGGGCAAATCCATCAATTTGTACTGAAATGGCCCAACTCAAGCCCCCTCACATGCACGCGAGCCGACACTTGTTGCCAACTAAACACAAGCTTAATAAATGAGTAAGTATTATAAAAGATGAAGAACCTCTTTAGCTTTCCGATGTGGAACAAAACTTTTGAAATACTCCTATTTTTTTACAACAAATACTGGGGTAGTCTGGACCATGTGCCAACAGAATGATGCTCCTGATCCGATTGTGAGGACCATTCTTCCACTTACCTATGGTGGTTCAATTGAAAGGATAGAAATTTGAGAAATTTTAGGAGCCCTTTTAATGGAATGCATCCCTGAAAATTGTGACTTGTATATGACCTTCATATAAATGCAGATTAACACATGCAATGGATTCAACTGCGACCAATTTACCCCAAATTCTGACAATAAACCAAATATGTGGACTGAGAATTGGACTGGATGGTATGATTTCTCTGTTTCCTTTGACATGCATTTGTTGCTTGAATTGCATGCTGATATCATCTCACTAACTATCATCTGATGTTTTCGTCTTTGGGAAAATTTTTGTGGTTTGGTACATCAGGTTTCTTGTATTTGGAGGGGCTATACCCACCAGACCTGTAGAGGATATTGCATTTTCTGTGGCACAATTTTTCCAGCGAGGTGGTACCTTCCAGAACTATTTTATGGTATTTTATGATTAACGTAATTGTGACTAATTGTGATTTTGACAAGTAATCCATTTCATTCCCTTCCTTGATTTCAGCCTGATGTTTTTAGTTATAATTTCATTGACTATTTTCAGTATCACGGTGGAACTAACTTTGGCCGGACCAGTGGCGGACCAGTTATTTCAACAAGCTATGATTATGATGCTCCACTAGATGAATACGGTATGCTTATTTCATTACTTTGAAATTTATTATTCTGCTTGTTAGTATAATTATCTTGGTAAATATGTCTCAACGAGCCAATCCAGCATGTAAGCATGGACAATCAGTGATCTGGGATTCACTGCACAAGAAGCAGCCTACCGTAAATGATGTATGCATGCCATTGAGAGTCTTGGACGCCTTTTAGCCAATATTATATATATTGAGGAAAAGAGAGAGAGTTTAGCTTATTAATATCCATATCCTAACTGATTATAGTAGAAGTCAGGAGAGAGTTGTACTCTTCTTTGGAGTTGTGCATCAATGCATCAAATGCTTACTATTTGCAGGTCTAATAAGACAGCCAAAATGGGGGCACTTAAAAGATTTACACAAGGCCATAAAGCTTTGTGAAGAGGCAATGGTAGCAACTGATCCAACTATTACTCCTCTTGGCCCAAATATGGAGGTGAATATTGAACAATTACAGTGGATAAAGTATATGGACCTGTAAAAACATTTCTGCTGAAGTGAAAGAGCTGATTGTATCCATCTGAACAGAGCAATTTTTGTATGAAATGTTCAAGATCTTTGAACAACAATCTTTTACTTCTACCTTTTCACTGATGAGGTCTTTTCGAAACTGTTTTCTTTCTTTAGGCCAGTGTTTACAGTACAGAATCAGGGCTATGTTCTGCTTTTCTTGCCAATTGGGGTAGCCAATCCGATGCCACTTTCGACTTCAGTGGAACTTCCTATAACTTGCCTGCATGGACTGCGAGCATCTTACCCGCCTGCAAAAATGTGGAATTCAACACTGCAAAGGTTCGCCCACAAATTACACTACTACCTGTCTTGCACTTGTTTGGAAGGGTGCAGGAGCAACTAAATATGGGTTACACAGCCCCAGTGATTGTTTAACGTCATTTCATCACCTGTCATCATGACAGATTAATTCTATGAGGACTCTTTCAAGATTTACCCGGTCTTCAGAAGATGTGGCTACTGGTGCATCTTTCTCAGGTTGCAGTTGGGTTAATGAACCTGTAGGTATCTCAAGCCAGAATGCATTCATGAAGCT